GACATCCTCCTCTCTAACGTCTGCGGTCAGTGGGGGAGATGTAGCAGTTGCTGGTGATGAAGGTATGGCCGGCATGGAAGGAGATGAAGTTGATGGTGTTGTAGGTTGAGAAGCTGCTGCAGTAGAGGCAATACTGTTTATTGGTTGCTCACCAACCGAAGGCAGAAGAGACCTAGTGTCCGGCCTCATAGAACCGGAAGCAGCAACCGGGACCGGAAAGGGAGAATCAGTATTCTCCACTAAGTCAAATTCTCCCATAGCTCTCGGGCATCGTCCTCGGTTGGGGTTCTAAGCTCTTCAGACTGAGCATTCTATTGAGCTGATGAAGGTCGTTGTCTCCTTTGCAGGGAAGCCTCTTCATCACTGGCTTCCTCGTCATCGTCGATAACCACAGTGTTTGCGGCTGGCTCGGGTGCTACTTTTCTTTCTTGTTTTTACCCTTAACCGAGGAAAGGCGCCGCCTTTTTTGTTGCTTGTTCTCTAGTCGGGGACTCCGAGAAGAAGCGCTTGTACCGAAAGTAGACCTGAGGGCACCCGTCTGGGTGAGAGCCTCATTCAATAACCTCCCAGCCTCTGCGGGATCAACCAAAACATCCTCCTCAGGGATGGAAACAGAACTCTGTGGGAGACCTGAATCAAACAAAAAGGTAGGGTTAGCAAATTTACTCATTAACAAAGATAGAATAAAGAAAGATTTTATTTACCGTGATTCTTGGCCCTCCACCCGTATTTTGGGGGCCAATTCCTTCCACTGGCGGGTCTCTGGCGTAGTGATGTCTAGAATCTTCTGAACCCACCGCTCCAGGCCTTCAACCCTTGGAGGTGTCCACCGAGTTGCTGAAATAATGAATGAAGAAGGACATGAAACAACCTATATTTTCGGAGAAAAGGATAAATTATGAACTTACGTGAATGAGTCCAGGATTCGGGGAAAGACGGAGTTGTAACCGGGATGATATCTCTGGTGGCAATAACGACAAACCACTCCATCTACCCACGGTCATTGTCGTCATCCATGCTGGTGAGCAAAGCATGGTGGCCACGCTTGCTGAAATTTATTAACTCC